AAATACGCAGGATACTATTTTACTGAGAGGTCCAATAAGCCATCGCCTTAGAAATTGCAACATTGACGTTAAATAATTTTTTTTTAATCACGCAACATATTCTGTATTTAGTTAAATTTCTATGATTAATAGAACGCGCATTGAACAACATTCCTTAAAATTCTCATGTGCTCTCTGATATGCTGGGTGGTTGAATACGATCCGGATGAAGTTGTCCCGGTTCCACTCGCCTTTCAAATTGATTTCTAAAGGCCCGTCAGGCAACAGGATCTGCATTGCTCATGAAGATATTTCAGGAGTTTTGAAATATTTTCCAAAAGAATGCACATTTTTCCCCGGAATGGCAAAAAGAAAATAAAGAAGTGAAATGGTTTCAGAATTGCGTACTGCTTTCATTTCCTATGCATATGCATATTATGTATTTGAAGGTGAAAACCCCGAAAATAATTGCGGGATTTTGTATGCATAGGCCGAGGGATTATATGTACTGTAATGGAAAAACGATATTGCAAATGTAAGGCTAATTAAAAAAGTCTCATTATTTTCGAACATGACTTCGATTTTCGTGCTTTATGAGAATTTGCATACTTAGAGTTTTTTATTTAATGGCAGGATACGGGAAACATTCTTTCCTGGAATTGAAACTAAAACAAACGAAAAATCCAAATCCTTTCATCGTTTTACCTTACCCTCTGACAAATTGTCTCTCAACATTTTCCGTATTTCAATAGACTGGCCCTTCAGAAACTGAAAACGAATTATTTTTCGCAAAATTAATGTGAGAGTAATCGAAACTTGTTCAGTTGACCGTTTCTCAGAATTCCTGACCCTAAAAGGTGAAAAATCATTATCTCTAGTTATTCAACACGTCCTTATCAAAATTCGATTTTGCTTTCAGCGGAATTTCCTGTTCAGCTTTACGTCAAATTCCCAGACGCAACTAAGCTAATCGCGTACGAAACGGATCAGGCTTCATCATTATCTCAAATGCCAATATTTTATTTTTAGAATTTCAAAATTTTCAAGGAACTATTATGCCTTGGTACGCATCGAACTTTCGATAGGGCGCGAAGGCGATTGAGAATAAATTTCCATCTATATACTATCTGTC